AGCTAATAATTTTAAAAGAGTTGGAACAGATAGCAAAGGAAAAGCAGCCAACAAGGGAACCGGGATACATGGGAACTCCTTCAATATAATTTAAAAAGCATCCCAGGTGGCAACTCATGAAACTGCTTGAGAGAATGCCCAGATTGTGCAGAGCTATTATCAAGGTAATAGGTGGCTAAATTGAAAAAGCTAGTAAAATAGATATGAAGTAATAAAAAAAGTCAATACATAATTAGTAATAGGTAAAAGCATATTCCATATGTACAGTATATATACACTGTAATATATAAATGCATAAAAGTACATTCTGTTATCTGTGAAGAATATATATATATATATATATTTGGAATCTACAGTATACACAGCACATACACACATATATGAGAACACATACATACAAATGTATTTTCCTAGCGAAATTGCAGAACTCCAACTAGTTTTTATTTGAAAAAAAAAAAAAACTTCTCTCCAGAAAAACAAGACACACAAATAGCATACCTGACCTCTGCTGTCATTTATTTTAATTGCCTGTTTATAGTGAAAGCTGATTATTTTCTTCATACACATAAAGCTTATGTACACAAGAACAGACCTCACGGTTATGCTTATTCACTGAGAAGAGGGGATTATCAGGTAGACATGTAAAGCTTTATGCCAATATTTGTAGCTGGCAATTGGAGGTTTGTTCAAAGAACAACACTGGTGGAATTCTTCTCTTAATAACCATTCAGTTAGGGAGTTAAAATTATTGATTAGAATAGACGGCCAATGATAATATGCAAAGCTAACAGTAGAATTAATGTTTTCCTCACAAACAAAAAAAATAATATACCATATTAACCGATGCCCATTTAACACAATAAAAAATGAGGCTTGCAGAGTGGCCATTTGCACGCACTACTATGATGTAAAATGTTATTCCACATGGACATTATCAGTAATTATACTGCTGAGCAGGATGGAAAAAAAAATGTAATTTTTTCCTCCATAAATTTAGACCACAAATGGAGTCACTCCTCTGAAGACACTATAATTGTTGCAGTTTACAGTTATTTTGACTTATTTGCCCACTGTGAAGAAAATACATCAATACATATGAAAGTAACAATTAAACTCCAGAAAAATTAATATTTAGATCCACTTAAACGTGGCTGTATTTAAAGGGGTCATATGATGTTGCTAAAAAGAACATTATTTTGTGTATTTGGTGTAATGAAATGTGTTTATGCGGTTTAAGGTTAAAAAAACACATTATTTTCCACATACTGTACATTATTGTTTCTCCTCTATGCACCGTCGATTTTTACAAAGCTCATCGTTCTGAAAAAGCGAGGTGTGCTCTGATTGGCCAGCTATCCAATGCGTTGTGATTGGC